AAAAATGGAAGACGATCGACAGTGTATGCCGCGTGTATTGTATTGTATTGTATTACCTTCATGGACAATCCACGCGGGGCGTGGCGATTACAGTCCAGAGTCTGAGTCGGGCACAAACAAAAACATGCGGGGACAAGAAACACAGGCATACAGATTCAATCGCTGGACATTCGCTCTCTCTATATACAAACGGACGATTCAAGACAGCACACCGCACACGGATGTCGCACCTCCTTCCCCTGACACGGGTCATCGTCGGGCGGTCGCCATCGCAGGACAGACTGCAGCCTTGGCCGCGCGGGCGAATTGGGCGGGGCGCTGTTCGATGACACCGGGAGGCAGACTGTTGAGTAGCGCCGCGGCCCGGTAGCCGAATCGTCGCTTGCCAGTCTCGAGCCGCGAGCGTGGAAGGTGGAAAAGGTGGTCCTGTCGAGTGGATCTCTCTCGCGCGTCACTGTTATTCGTGAAGATGGCAGCTAGTGCTTCGGGCTCGCCGTTGCTTATTATTTTCTGCGCAGTTACCATGGTTTTAACGTCGGCCATAGCTTTCGGAGGCATCCATCCGAGTGAATCGCGGAGGCCAGAGACGTGATCGAATTTCCGGCGGCCGAATATGACCCGTGCTGCAAAGTTTAGAATTTTTTGGAGTCGGTCGAAGTTTTTCTGGGAGCCATTTCCATATACAGTGAGGCAGTAGGTACTGGACGCGCGAGATGACGAGTGCAGTCACGATCGTTTTGAGGATACCGTCTGGGAGGCAGTGTCGTGCGTGGGAGAGGCCGATCAGTACGCCCATGCAGCGACGGCTCAGCTCGGCCACGTGTGCTTCCCAGGTGAGTGCGCCGTCGAATACAACACCCGGGTTTCCCACCTGCGCGCACGGCAGGAGCTCAGCGTCACGGAAAGAGATTTTGAAGCGAGGCAGGTTACGTAGGTTTTGTCGGCTACCGAATACCATCAGTTGAGTTTTAGAAGCGTTGACTTTCAGGGCGTGTGCGCAGAACCATGCGTTAAGTGACTCTAGCGATGCCTCCATGCGCGAGATGAGACTCCTGATGTCGTTGCGTGGGCCGCTCACCAATATCTGGGTGTCGTCTGCGTACTGATAAGCGGTGGCGTCTCCGGCAAATAGTGAGAGGTCGTTGGAGAATATAGTGAAGAGGAGGGGACCCAAAGCCGAACCCTGGAAGACTCCTACGGTGTTTGGGAGCGGTCGAGAGGTTATCTTACGGCCGGTTTTGTCTTACAGGGATACACTCTGCGTGTGTCCCTGAAGATAAGCGGAAAACCAGGAGGTCTCAATACCGTAGATTTGGAGCTTTTTGACAAGGAGTTCATGGTCAATGACGTCAAAACATTTGCTAAGGTCTATGAGGCATAGCATTGAGATCTCACCCCTATCGGTGGCGGCAAGGATGCTATCTGTGACTGACAGCAGTGCGGTCTCAGTGGAGTGTCGGGGGCGGAATCCGTGTTGGGTAGACGAAAGAAGGTGGTTATAGGTGAGATAGTGATAGAGCTGCTGATGGATTACACGCTCGATGATTTTCATGATTACGGGAACTAGGGAGATCGGTCTGAAATTGCTGGGGTCAGATGGGTTGCCAGACTTGAAGATCGGTTGAACGATAGTGTTTCCAGGGGTCAGGAATGTCGGAACGGGTGATTGAGACGTTAATGATGTGTAAAATGATGTCGCCAATAGTTTGGAAGCATACTTTTAACATGCGGATGCATATGCCGTCAGTGCCACGCGCGGCAGAGTTTCGCATGCTGAACACTGTGAGTCCGAGTTCCCCGAGAGTGATGGCCCTCGGCCTAAAGCTGCATGCGCCGACACGGGGTAGACGTACATTTAGATCAGTATCGTTGTTTTGGGTACTCAGTTCGGCGGCAATGCGGGGCCCGACAGAGACGAAGAAGGAGTTCAGATCGTCGGGAGATAGATCGGGCTGAATATTTGGACCATCTTTCTTTCCAGCGATCACTGATTTGATGCTTTGCCAGACTTTGTTTACCCCACGCTCGCTGATCTCGTTTTGGAGGACGTGACGGCGGTCTCGGCGTAAGGCGGCGCGGACGGAGCGGTTTAGAGCCTTATACTCGGGAGACTCGCGGCCTAGCCGACGTAACGCGGAGCGACGCCTGGACATAATGTCGCGGGTGGCGGCAGATACAGGGGGCGCTGTAGGATTTCTTATCAGCACATTTTTGAGGGGGGCATGGTCGTCGAAGACAGGTAGAAAGTTGTCTAAAAAGACCTGCCACTTGTCAGCAACAGACGTCGAGTTATAAACCTCCTGCCAATCGACACTCAGCAGCTCTTGGTTGATAGAGTGAACGTCCACTTGGTTAAGTGATCTAGATTGGATGACAGTTGGTTTTAGGCGCTGCTTAGGCACGTCGACGGTCACGTGGATGAGTTTGTGTGGGCTGAAATGGCAATGGACTACGCTATAAGAACGCACAAATTTTCGGTTTTGTACAATACACACGTCCAAGAGAGAACCGGTAGTGAATGTTGATGTTGTCACGAGTTGATCCAGGGACAGTGGCGGCGGAAGGTATTCTAGGATAGGGGTGCAAACGATATTGAAGCGCCCCTTCCCGCTGGGCGCCCCATACCATGCCGATGGCCGTCCCTGCACTGGAAAATCAGTTTCGCCCCTATACAGGCGCCCATAGAAGTTTGCAGAGTGCTATTCCTGGTCATAATCATCTCCCCAGTAAGAAAAAAAAACGCAAAATACGCCCTAGCACTAGGGGTGTAACCGCCCATACGGACAGTGTAATTTTACAGGCCCCAATCTCGGACCTCCCTTAACATTCACATGTTGTAAACGGCAAACCGCCCCCGATAAATGTTACACAAACTAATTACCTCTCGCATATCGGCCATCAGGCGCCCCTTTTTGTCGCATGGAGCCTGCAACGCTATAAGCCCTCATATGTTCGTGTTGGCGTTCGGAGGCTATCGCCTTCAAAGACGTCTCCATAAATGTTTCTTTTTCGTCCCACACACAGGCAACCTCTTTCGCATGCAGGCGCCCCTCTTTCGCATGGCGCGCTTCTCGAGTGGCTGCGTCCTCCTAGCCTTTATCGCCTGGCAAGATTATATTCGACAGGGTCGGCAGCATCTGCCTTTGTTTCAGATAAGGATGCCCTTATCAAAAGATACTTTTCCCACGTCATTGCCACCCTCTTCGTGTCACAAGTGCCTTTATCAGTTGCGGTGTCGCACTGCTCACCTTTATGGCTGCCGCACCTCTTAACTTCCTGCCTCCTCTACAGATTTTCGAGGCGCCCCTTTCCATAGCTTTAGGGTGCAGCTGCCCCCCTTGCCCCCCTGCTTCCGCCGCCACTGTCCAGGGAGTAGTCAGATAGGAACTCGCTGATGTGTTGACGGGCGGGAGAGCTAGCGCTCTTTAACAAGTCACAATTCAGATCGCCGCATATAACAAACGGGACGTTGGGGTGGTCGATAAGGACACGCTGAAGCTGGGTTTCCAAGTCTGTAAAATCCGCACGCAGTGCGGTCGCGGAATGACGCGGCGGTCGGTACACCGAGCAGACAATCAGATTGCGATTTTTTGGTAATTTCAACAATGCCCACTGCGATTCCAGAAGACTGTCCGGGCACTGCGAGCTTGGTGGCTTCAGTGCTACATGCGTAAGGTCCGCTTTGGTGATGATGGCGGCGCCGCCAAAGCCTCGGCCGTCAGGTCGGTCCACCCGGCTGATGGAGTAGCCAGGGATGACCAGAAGTAGGTACACTTATTTAAGCTGTATTTCTAATTTCTTATCGCTTTTGTTATGGCTGTTAGAAAACAATTATCGTTATCGTTGTATCGTTTATCGTTTCGTTATCGCTGGTAAATAAACAATTATCGTTATCGTTTTATCGTTTTCTTGCTATCACTGTTAATTTTTTTGAAAATTTTTTATCGTTTATCGTTTATCGTTATCGCAAACCTTTCTTATCGTTTTATCGAATTATCGCAGGTCCGAAAATTAGTTATCGCGGAAAGCACTGGGTCTACCTGGTTCCCATTCCAACTTATACCGGGTCTGACTGGTTCCAGAAATGTCCAGCCGGGTCTGGCTCGAGTCTGGTTCCCAAAATTTTCACCTTTTGCCCTCTGTAGAAAGGAGGCCCCCGGGATTCCTCCGCCCCTCCCTTGGCCAAATCCTAGCTACGTGCCTGCCGAAGACTATCTCAAGCACAATATGTACTTCATAATTTCATAAGCAGGTATAGGTACCATATAGGTACTCCTGACAAATAACAATACTTCATTTTAACATTGTTGACCTTAGTGATGTCTTCTGTGACGTCGGGTCGGGGAAATCGTTCCACAGTGGACTCGAGGAGACCTGCTGTCTGCACAATCGAATTTGATATGCAATAAAACCTCCTTTGGGCTTCGATGCTTATACCTGCTGCACCAGCCACAATAACCCTCAGTCAAGAGCCCCACAAGCATAGAGTGCCTACTGCCTGTTGAGTGTTGCGCCTCGAAGTTCGAACCGTTGGAACCCCGAACATTCATGTATGTTCATTCACATTGTACATACCTACCTATAGAAATTGTTAATTGAAACAAGTCACAGACGGTTTTCCGTTTTTGTTTCATCAATCATCACTCAGATCTCTACCCGCTAGGCGTTGCCGTCTTCCGGACCATAGATACCTACCAATCGTCCTGGCCAAGGCATATAAAGTCCTGGCACTGTTTTCTCGCGACTCTCGGCCAAAAAAAGCTCCTTTCGCAGTCAGAGCGGCGTGGAATGCCGGCGGTCTATGGAACATGACTGGGGAGCGAGGCTATAAGCTTTTATATTAGTCATTGATCCGACTGTTATTATTATTTTAAACGATGGTGTATGCTATTACAACAGTTTCTTTACGGCAACATGCGGAACACACTCAAATTTAACTAATAAAACGCTTTTCAACATATTTTCGGGCATATGAAAATATTTAGTAGCGTTAATCTAATGCATACCATTCTGACTCGCTCGCGCGCAACAATTGTCTCGACACACTTTCACGAGAGAAACAGCTTGCACTCGTTTGCTTTCTTTTTTAGAGATAAATACTTTGTGTTTTTGAGTTGATAATTGCAAAATTATTTGTTTTGTAACCTCTTAAAGATAACCTTCCGTTCATCTGCTTTTACTATGCAATGGACTTCACCATAAACGTGAAACGTAAGACATTCCAATTCTATTTCTGTTGCCCAGCAGGGGCTTGAATTGCAGCTGTCTTTGATATGCACGGCTATTTCATTATTTAATTTCATTTTGGTGTAAAATGACATGCTTGAATTGTGTTTTTATTGTGGGTCATGTGTTATGCACCAAACATCATTATTTGATTGAATCAAAATGAATGTGAAATGCAGTTCAAGTTCTGATGCTAAAAAGTTTAAGAAAGTAGCAAACATGTGTTAAAAAATGCTAGTGAGGCACCTAAAATAGACGTTTGTTTGATTTTATGACGAATGAAGATAATATTTCTGAAGGGACTTGCTTTTTTGTGCTTTTAAGGTCTCATTTTACTGCTTGTGTACCACTCTTTCCGTGACTTGCTAACTATAACTCTTGTTCACATATCAAGGTTAGTTATCCAATTAATTTAACTTTACTCTACCTAACACCTTGTAAATACCTACTCACTTAATTAAGACATATCTGACACCTATTCTGGCAAAAGTTGATAATCTTTATAATAAATTGGCGTCCTTGTAAATGTATAGACTCACACTATAGAGTGTGCTACTTTACTTATAATCCATACACCACTGTAGCAACACAGTCAACAAGCTGCATCAGCTAGGGTGGAAAATACATACAGGGTGGCGCCGATAAATGAAGACAATATCAATATGTGCTCCACACAAAACATTGAGTTTTTGGCAAAAGTCAGTACATTGGATGGAAGCTTGGAACTGGGGTGACTGATGGCGACCTGTCGAGCACACTTCACTCGATGAATCCCCCTCCGCGTCGATGACGGCCTCGATGCGCGGCTTGAACCGGGCGCAGGCCTTGGTCAGCATGGCCTTGTCCATCTTGACCATCATCTGCTTGATGGCTGACTTCAGAGAGTCAATATTGTTGTGTGGGTGTTTGTTAGTGTCCCTCTCGACTACGCCCCAGACGTTTTAGTCGAGCGGGTTCAGGTCCGGGGAGTTTGGCGGCCAGAACTCGGGCGTTATGTGGCTGTGCAGGTTGGCGCTCATCCACTCCTGCGTCACCCTGGCCTTGTGGGCGGTTACAGAGTCTTGTTGGAACACATAGGGCCTTCCTTAGCCACTCGGTCGATCCAGGGCTTCGCGACGTCACCGTCATCGACGGTGACGTCGACGTCGGGTCATCGTCGACGACGTTCTCGACTTTGGCAATGAAATCGTCGTCTCTGACGGCATCAGATCGTCGGGGATGTTTCTTCCGCTTTGCCACAGACGGGATGTCGCCCACAGACTCATCCAAGCTCTGCTCGACTTTATAATCATGGCTTCTGTGGACCTTGAGGAAGTTGGCGACCTCGGATGCCTAGCTGCCGGCGTGAAGCGCCACAATGACCGTGTGCTTTTCATTTCTTCCGTTATCATCTTCAGTTGCAACGTACCCTTTTGCTATGGACAACAATTTACATAAAGCATGGAACATGAATGCAAAAAATTATTGCTCTGCACAAAACAGTTTCCTCGTAACACAGCTTTGATATTTGTGGTTATTTACCGGCGCCACCCTGTATTAGCCTACTGCAACCAACTAGAAATTTGCAATGGACAGGACCTAAAATTTTTTACAATTCTTAGATATATGCACTTCTGTCTGATATGAAACATTTCAAGTGAAGACCAAAAATTTCCTGGTTCACCACAAGGTGGCTCCCACATATCATTTTCTTGGATGATGCTGTGTCACTACCAGCAAAGCAGTTCAGCGCAGTAACATTTTTGGGTCTGCACTGAACACAAACTCTGCACCACACCACATTAACTAAATCTGCACTGCACTGGGCAGTAGTAGAGTGCCTCTGCTTTGATGAGATCTTGTTGAGGCTGCCGTGCTTTGTAGTCTGACCTATGTTGATATAATCCAGCTTGCAAAGTATGGCAGGAGTCTGTTGGACTCAGGACATATGATGGAAAATCTGGACTATTGCACACTAGCCATGCTGGAAGTTTGCAGCAGCCTCCATAAAAAGGGTCTGGAAATTGCCCCACAGGATTAAGAACTCCTCACATTCTTAAAATCAAGTTAAACTATTAGAAAGGGCAATTGTCCCTTTTATGTCCTCACTAAATCTTGAATGCATTATTGTATTTGGAAGTGCTGTACCAGAACCAAATTATGGTGCTAGTTAGTTCAGTACATAAGCTACCTGCATTAGCATGCTACCTGCACACAATACACATAGCTAATGCTCATACACTGCAGTGCAGATGGGTAAGCAGCAGCTGCAGATGGTGCCTCAATTCATCCCTGAAGTCAATTACCTATGTTTGTGCTGAATAACAGGTAGCAGCATAACCTTGCATGCCACTGTAGCACAAATGGTGACAACCCAGCTCAATGTTTTGCAAGGCAAACTGCAGGACCACATGCTTATTGTTCAGTATTGGTGTTTTTAGTGATGCTAGCAATGTGCTTGATTGATCTTTCCACTGTGGTGTTTGAATTGAGGAGGCACAGTCTGTGCTCTGTAACAAGGCTTTTAAGTGAGAACCAGTTCAGCTTGCATATTGACATTTCCTAGCTCCCATTGTACTTGGTACCTTGGTTTATCTATTAATAATGATTTGGTTTTCATTTACTTGCAGTGGACTGCGGAACACCTGGCAAATAGCAATGCTTCCCTGGCCTTTTATTCTAGCCACATTTTTTCCTTAGCTCCTTGATGTAATTGTGTAAGTCTTACGTGCAAGACACTGTGACACTCCTGATTTGGCATATGACACTGCAGGTGGTCCCAGTATGTGCTAGAGGGGAGACAACCTCCAGGTAGCAGGGACAACTAGCATTGGAAGTAGCAGGAAATGACTTGCGATGAAACAGGACCATTGACCAGGCTATTTTTTTTAGGAAGATGAAACTTTTAGGTAGTAAAAATTAGGTGCCTAAACTTTGAGATCCTTGTAGCTTGTTTTTTTTTTCTGGAGATGGTTGTTTACCTGTGCTGTGAAACAGGACCAGGGTAGCTTTTGCAGTGAGATGAGGTTTTAAAAAGCAGTAAGCTTCAAACTTCTTACGGGTCGTTTATCGTGTCGCTCACGTAAGTCGTAACCTTTCCTGCAATAACCTATTGCGGAAAATCACTTGGAAACGTGATTTTATACCAAACATGCAGCGTCGGATGTTTTTTTATTTTGGGTGTTGCATATGATGTTGCTTGGGGTATTTGAGGTGATCAACATTTTAATAATTCCCAATAAAACTGTATCAGGGAGTCCGCAGCACCCATGAACCCAGGATGGCCTGCCAAAACGTAGTAATAATCTGAAAGATAACTTCTGTAGACCTCAGCTCACTGGCCTGACTGGCTTTGACATACCAGCTGACCCGCCTTGACGTGAGCTTGTGGTCTCCTTGTTTATTTGAAGCCAGTGATTCCAATGCCTTAGAGTCATTGGTTCTTCTTGATCTCTGGAGTTATTGGCCCCGCTAGCCTGATTTTGGGGGCAGTGTTCGTAGGGACGCTTTGTAGTTGTTTCCTTCACTGCCCACTCGGAGCCCGTGGCTCCCTGAGCATTGGGAGTCGATTCCCCCGGTTATTCGAAATCGGTTCCCCCGGTCATTCGGATTCGGCTTTCCACCGATCATTCGGTGTTGGTCTCCCCAATGGCTATTTGGAGTCGGTCTCCACACTGGCTATTTGGTGAAGTGATCAGCCGTCACGCTGTGCTGTATATCCGGACCGATCGATCCGCGGCGCCGTCCGCTGTCCTTTTGCCTGTCGGGCCGGGGCCCCTAAGGTGCCGGCAGCGGCCCGCCGCCTTATGGCCGGATGGGCGCGCGGCAGGCGCAGACCGGAAACTGGCGAGCGGGACAGGTTTTTGCGCCGCCCTGTGAGTGGCCGCCGGTGACACCGAGGACAGGACCCGGTCCACGGGCGGCGCCCCGTAAATACGACGATACCTACTGATTAACGTGGCTCAATGGATGCCAATCACAGGACGCTTCGTGATCCACCGACACCAGGCTTAAGAATCGGAGCTGCTGAGCTGCACTGATCCGGTGTCTGGTACCTTATGTGCCCAAAAAAGGTGCGGTTTTGTTATGCGAGACAGGTATTCTAGCCACATTTGTGGCACGCCTTTCAGTTACTACTTATTTCGTTTGTTTCATATCCATTTTCGTTTGGGCCATTACAACATTGATTGCGTTCAAAGTATTTGACTTGCCATAAAGTATAACGGACTTGTCAGCAGCTCTGTTGTGGGAACCAACCCAAACAGCAATCCAGCAATTCATCGCAGTTGCGTGCTGCATGTCGAGCGCTAGTGAGCATGCACTCGGCTCGACTGGAATGGTGTTGTACCGGGTCCGGACATATCGTCCTTGTTACCTGGCCACTAAACACCGCTGGGGCCCTGTTCCACGGCACGCTACTAGGGCTTTCGGCTGCCAGCGAAACAGCGACAAACTTCGGCGCTGATATTGGCCGACGTTTTCCAAAAGTAGCAGTAAAGCTATGGTCATAAGCACCGTAAGCAGATTCACATCGTTTTATAAATGGCATATTGTATGAAGTTGTTATTGTACATTTCTAGAACTTGACTAAAGTCACAACCGAGTCCGCGGAATCAGCGGATTGGAAGCGGGGTCACATTAACAATTTGGGTGTGTGAAATAAATTTTGACGACAGTTACACACCTGGCGATAACCAATGGCGTCATCTAGCGAAATGGACCAGTAACTAGCACTACTGATTCCTGTACGCCACTAGCGCAGCATAAATTGCGTGCCATGAAACATGGTCCTTGATAACATCCAAGAATCAAGTACCCTATTTGTTTTAAGCTTTATAAAAAAACGCATTTTCCAGTTTTTTTGCGCACGTTCTGTCAGACGAAGGTCATTTTCTGACTAGGGCTGGATCCAGACAATATTTTGACACCATTCCACTGATTCTTGCCTCTATTACTTTGACACCATTCCACTGATTCTTGCCTCTGTTACTATGCAATTCATACTCATTCGAAAAAAAAACACAAGACAAATCATTCAGTCGTTGGTGGATGATGCTATGCAGTTGCCGTAATTCCATATCATCGTGTTCGACAGTGGATATTCATTTGGTATCATTTTCACTGAGCACCAAAACGGCATCCTTGAATATATCCTTATTACGTACCACCTAAACAATTGACCTCTTTGATTATGCATGGTCTTAAAATCACTCAATCCACCCCGCCGGTTCATCCGTTCATTGCTGAGGTGAGCGCCGTGCCTGATGGGGTGTTGGGGGGACGCTCGCCGGCACGCTGGCGCCGTGACTGCCCATGCCGCTGTTCGTGTCACCGGTGCCTTTCTGTCCGGGGCTGGCGGCGCTCCGCCGTGAATCGCACATCACGGCAGTTCAGCTTTCAACGGCCTTACGACTAACACGAAACGTGCTTCAAGGTTACGCCTTTGACTATCTTCGTATCTTGCGGCGGAATTTATGCATTTTTAGCGTTCGCAGAACATAGTGACAGACTTGCTTTAGAGACTGAAGTGTTAGTAACTGACAGTAACACTGAATGACTGACCGACTACCTCCTCACCCTCCCCCAAAAGCAAAACACGGACTAACTGAAGTCAGTCTAACCTCCAGCCCCTTTCTGATAGAGCTTACTTACTTCCAAGCTAGTTACGATTGTAGTTTGTGCTATTAGGCATATGTATCTAGATGTGTAAGCGTTTGACCAGACCAGCTCGTCCGTAGCCCTGTTTCTATTTGTGCTGGCGATGCATCGGTGTAGAGGCCGCACTGACTGTTGTCCCGTTCCACAGCTGTGATGAGCCCGCCGTCCCGGAGAGACCACTAGCCAGCGCCGGTCGCCACTGCCCCCGATCGCCCGCCGTCTGAGCCTCCGTCCGTGCGTGCGCCGAGCCCCGGCCGGCCCCCAGGTCCGCCGCGCTGCCTTCCGCCGAGCCGCCCGCGCCCGTCGCCATGACGACCAACGGCAGCGGCCCGCTGACGCCGCCCGCCGAGGACCAGCCCGACCAGGACACCATCAAAATGTTCGTCGGCCAGATCCCGCGGCACATGGACGAGCCCGAGCTGCGCGCCATGTTGGAGGAGTTCGGCGCCGTCTACCAGATCAATGTACTGCGGGACAAGGTGAGCGGCCAGAGCAAGGGCTGCTGCTTCGTCACCTTCTTCACGCGCAAGGCGGCGCTGGAGGCGCAGAACCAGCTGCACAACGTACGCACTCTGGCCGGCATGCACCACCCCATCCAGATGAAACCGGCAGACACCGAGAATCGCAATGAGAGGAAGCTGTTCATCGGCATGGTCAGCAAACAGTGTGACGAGGCGGACGTGCGCGCCATATTCGCGCGGTTCGGCCCCATCGAGGAGTGCACGGTGCTTCGCGATCAGAACAACCACAGCAAGGGCTGCGCGTTCGTCACGTTCTCGTCTCGCCAGAACGCGATCGGCGCCATCAAGGCGATGCACCAGTCGCAGACGATGGACGGCTGCTCGGCGCCCATGGTAGTCAAGTTCGCCGACACACAGAAGGACAAGGATACGCGCCGAATCCAGAGCGTGGCGTCGACGCTGTGGGGCTCCGGGCTGGCGGGCCCGTTCAGTCCGCAGTATCTGACACTGCTGCAGCAGCTCAGCGGCGCTGGCGGACTCGGCCTGCCCGCCATGCACGGCTTCGGCCCGGTGCACGGCGCCGGTCCGCTGCTGGGTCACGGCGTGCAAAACGGCGGCCCGGCCGTGCTGGGCGCCGCCCGGTTCAGCGCTCCGACACCAGCCAACGGCGCGCCGGCCACCAGCGAACCGCCGGCGGCGGCGGCGGCAACGGGCGCGGCGCAGAACGGTGCCGGCGCGCCGCTGCTCGTCTCCACGCCGTCGAGCAGCGCGTCGATGCCGACTCTGACGACACTGGCGGTGCAGAACGGCTGCCTGAGCCAGTCGTCGGCCAGCTCGTCGCTGTCGGGCGCGTCGCCCGTCTCCTCGATGCCGTCAGCGCCCACCATGGAGATGCTGACGGCGTTCTCCAGCCTGCAGCCTTTCGGCGGCCTCACCGCCGCCGCGTTCGCGCAGGCGCACATGGTCGCCAACAACAATCCGGCCGGCAAGCGGATCGAGGGGCCCGAGGGCTGCAACCTGTTCATCTACCACCTGCCGCAGGAGATGACGGACGCCGACCTGGCGCACGCCTTCATGCCGTTCGGTAACGTCATCTCAGCCAAGGTGTTCATCGACAAGCAGACCAACCTGTCGAAATGCTTCGGTTTCGTGTCTTACGACAACCCGACCAGCGCTCAGACGGCCATTCAGGCCATGAATTGCTTCCAGATCGGCACCAAGCGGCTCAAGGTGCAGCTGAAACGCTCCAAGGAGGCGCCCAAGCCCTATTGAGGCCGGCGCGCGCGGCTAGTGGTGCAGTTGTAGGCTTTACACCGGTGCGCGGGGCGCCGTACCGTCTCAAAGGCAGCAGCCGTCCAGTGGGTAAATTATTGACATGGTGCGTTTCGCGCTCTTTTTGTACCAGGTGTACTCGCGTGTGAGAAACGAGTGGGAGCGAAACAGATTGTGCAGCTATTTGATTTATTTAAAAGAATAATAGTCCGGATTATCACGTAGTTGCAATACTTGTTACAAATTGGTGGCAAATCTATTGTTATTTATAGAGCGTGTGCACTTGTTGAACCAGGGATAAAGCGTTGTGGCTTTTAAGTTATAACAAACCTGGCTTTGTTTGTACTTTTAGTTAAGTTTTATTTTATCGCGTGATAGAGACGAGATTTCTCGGCTGGCACGAAAGTTGTTTGCACCGACTCAGAGCCATGCTTTCGAAGACTCCGTTCACCGACGACCAGAATGTGAGATTATTTTACCGAGAAGGCGAGTGGGCGATGGAGGGTTGGTGCCGCAGACTGAGCCGCCGCGGCGCTCCCCCCAGAGGCGACGTACAAACGTGGCAGTTACCCTGATCCGTACAACGAACGGGGCGGCCGCAGCCCGGCCAGAGCCCGCGCAACTGGCAGCTACCGAAATCCCAATGTGATGGCGCGTCTGGTCGGCCCGAGCCTCCGTGCGCCTGTGTCCCGTGTGAGTGGCGGCGGCCGGGCGCCGCCCGCCGCCGACCCTTGTTGTTTTCAGCCGTTTGTGTAGTCTAGTGTAACGTTTTATTCGTGGTGTAGGTGATGCTAAGCTGGCTGTGACGCCGGGCGTCTCTGTCGGGCAGACAGCAGTGCAGGGCGACCGGCGTCACGGCTCCAGCCAAATTGCGAGTCGGTCGCTTGTCTTCGTGAAACGGTGCTCGGGAGGAAAATCAGCAAGAACGTCCGTTTGTTTAGCTGCTCAGACGATCGCCACCGGGTCTGGCCGTGCGCGTCGGCGTCCACGAGTTTACTTTGTTGCTGATATGTTAGCTGATTTGTGATCATGTTACTTTCTTATCTAAATTAAGAAGAACCGTCGAAGCGATTTTCCTCCCTGCCCGCGATGTGGTTTGGGGTCCCCTATCAGTTATCGTTAAGCTAGCCGTTAAGTATGCTTGCTGGTTGGGCGGCGCGGCGCGGCCGGGCGGCCGCCGGTGGTTGTGTCGCCTTGCCGTGGTGGATCATGTCGGCTGATCTGTCGGGAACGGGCGCGCTCGGTGCTCGCGCCCGCTCCCTGCCCGAGTGGCGGCGCGGCGCGAACGGCGGCACCGGAGCGGCGCCAACCGAATACCCGGAGGGTATCATTTGTACCGATGTTAAATTGTATTCTGTATACCATGTTATTTGAATAAATATTCTTTAATAACCAAATATTTATGATGGTTGATGTTTTTGGTAGTGCCACCGTGGACCAGCACCTCGCCGGCTCCGTAGGGGTGCGACGGTCTACCCACAGGTGGCATCCACTGGGCGGGCGGTGAGACGCACCGGCACGCTGTAGAAATTCGTACCAATGCTGCGATAGTGCAATTGCCTAATTTGGCCATTTTTTTTTGGGGGGGGGGGGGGTGGCCCTTTCGATCTGACGTGACCATTTCAGGTCCGGAAGGATGATAGGAGTTAGGGGGAGACATTGGTCTGGAAGAGCATCCTGGGGAGTCGCCGGGGCTGAGCCCGTCGAGAAGACAGGCCGACCAGTCCCCTCCGCCCCCCCCCCCCCCCAAGCACTCACCGCACCTGGCTACGGTCGTGCTCCTATCAGCCATTCCCGCATGGAATAAAGTTGCCCGTCCATTCCGGAGCAGAGGGTTGAGATGTGAAGGATTTGACTGTCCTGAGGATGGAAAAGAGGGAACGGTGAGCTTTGGTCAAATATCGTTGAGCGTTGAGCTAGTTGGCCCAGACTACAACCTGCCCTGCCTTGACTTTATGACTAACGTAACCTACCCTGTTCCAAAAGATTATTCAGGGACATAATTTGATGTCCCGGGCATAGGTAGCTCGTAGTGCTGGACATCCTAACCGTGCCACTTAGCTTGTAGAGCATAGCCCGCTAACGACGTCTGGATGAGGGTAAAGTTGAACTGTCAGAAGAGACGCAAGTTGCGCGACATAGGTACAAGCTAATATTAATTTTATATCTCTTCCTTCCTCGTTGGATACAAAATAAGAGAAAAAGACACGTAACAGTTTATTCAACGCAGTTACCTGCATAGTTGCTCTTTGCTGAGGTATGTGCTATCACTTTCCTATGCAGAAGTCGCTGAAGATAACATCCAGTATCTCCTCGGCGCCGACGTGGCCGGTGAGCTCGCCGATCTGCCGGGCGGCCAGTCGCAGCTGCTCGGCCGCCAGCGCCAGGTCGCCGCCGGCCGCCACCTGAGCTATAAACTGGCGCACGTGCCGCTCGGCGCCGGCCACGTGCAGCCGGTGCCGCTGCCGGGTGAGAGCCGGCGCCGGGGCGGCCGCGTCCGCGCATAGCCGGCCCAGGCTGTCACCGAGCGCCTCCACCAGCGCGGCCACGCCGTGACCGGTCAGACAGGAGACGAGGGCCGTGCGGCCGGGCGCCGACCGGCACCAGTCACCCAGCCGCTCTACCTCTGCCTCCGACACCAGGTCCACCTTGTTCAACACCAGCTGGGTCTCTGGCGGCGGCGACTCGGTCCCGGCGCCCAGACCCAGCGCCGACAGCTGCTCAGACACGAACACGTCCGCGGTGCGCGCGACGCCCGGTCCGCCCATCCAGAAGAGCACGCGCGGCGCCTCAGCCACCAGCAGGACCAGGTCAGCGGCGGCAGCGCTGCCCCGGGCGCGGCGGACACCCTCCCGCTCCACGGCGTCTGACGCATCGCGCAGACCTGCCCGGGGACACGGAGCAAAGCAGTCAGACATGATAGGTAAAACCTGAGGCAATACGATGCAACATCGCATATTACCCTCCCTCCCTCTCCTGGCTACGATGCGGAAGTTTCTGTTACGTGCAGCGGCCACCTGCCGGCCAGCGGCGTCGCCTGGCGCGTCACCTACCGGCCGTGTCGGTGAGCACCACCGGGAAGCCGGCCACGTCCAGAGTGGCGTCCAGCAGGTCCCGCGTAGTGCCGGGTACCTCGGAGACAATGGCCGCCTCCCGCTGCACCAGGCCGTTCAGCAGGCTGCTCTTGCCGGCGTTCGGAGCGCCGGCAATCGTTACCTGTGACGTCAGAGAGGCGTCACAAACATAGAAGCGTGTGAGCATGCAGCGAGACACGAGATATGTATTCTCGGATGTATATTGGAATTCAAGAACAATGACAAAAGACGTCTCCTCATCGCGCCCGTCAGCGGCTTGGTCCCTCCCGAGTCCCAGTCCACGCAGTCCCTCGGTTCCTGCAGTGGTACCCTGGCACCCCATAGGACACGGATGGGGTGGGGTCAGCGCGCCCACCTGCACGCCGCTGCGCAGCCGCTCCCCGCGCCGGCCGTCCGCCAGGTGCCGCCGCATGTCGTCAGCCAGCCGGTCGGCGGCCGCCACCGTCTCGGCCATGGCGTCCTCCTCAATCAGCTCCTCCTCGCCGAAGTCGATGAAGGCCTCGGCGGTGGCCAGGCAGCGGAGCAGGGCGGCGCGCCAGCGGCTGTATTGGCGGCGCAGGTGTCCCTCGGCCTGGCGCACCGCCTGGCGCCGCTGCTGCTCCGTCTCGGCGGCCAGCAGGTCGGCGAGCCCCTCCACCTGACGGGGCGGCACCGACATTATACATACAGTCCCTTCACCTGGCGGCACGGCACTGACATTATACATACAGCAGGTCGGCGAGCCCCTCCACCTGGCGGCACGGCACTGACATTATACATACAGCAGGTCGGCGAGCCCCTCCACCTGGCGGCACGGCACTGACATTATACATACAGCAGGACGGCGAGCCCCTCCACCTGACGGCACGGCACTGACATTATACATACAGTCCCTCCACCTGGCGGCACGGCACTGACATTATACATACAGCAGGACGGCGAGTCCCTCCACCTGACGGGGCGGCACTGACATTATACGTACAGCAGGTTGGCGAGCCCCTCCACCTGGCGGCACGGCATTGACATTATACATACCGCAGGTCGGCGAGCCCCCCCCCCCCCCCACACCTGGCGGAGCGGCACTGACATTATACATACAGCAGGTCGGCGAGCCCCTCCACCTGGCGGGGCGGCACTGACACCAAACATGGAGCCGTACAGTCGACAGCTGGGGCGTTCCACGACAAATCGACAAGTGCCCTGCACCCTCATGTTTTATTTTTTGCTTAAAATTGGTCTAATGGGTTGTGATGGGCGGGGAAGCCAGCTGTGGCAAGGATTTTTTTCTTCGAACAACGGTTTCCGAGATATAGCCTCGGGCAATTCCTGGAGTTCGCGCTGCAGCCCTATGTTTGGCGGCCTCTAACTCAGAAACTATTGGTTTTTTACGATAAAAACTTTATATGGTTCAACTCATAATCAACCAACAAACATTTTGGCTATCTCGGATTTTCAATTTTTGAAAATTTTGATCACGTGACCTTTTGTCCTATTTTTCGAAGAGTGACCTTGATATTTTCCCCACCGAAAGTTGCAATTTTGTCTGATGACGATTAAAGCCTTATCAATTGTCATTCATATGCGATAATAAAAAAGTGGTTATCGCCCTGCGTTGACCTCAGGTCAGGTCATTTTTATGACCTGTCCATTATTACGAGCGGGAGCGACAGCGAGATCTCGAGAATAAAGAAAGATAGCGACAAGCGGTAAACGGTCAAGGGTACACACGGATAAGGTCTATAATTTTTACTGAGGTCATTTTCAGGTCAGGTCAAAGATGACGTCACAGGAGCTAAAAGGAAGTCAAAATAGCGGCACTATACATATATATGAAGTTTTTCTCGAATAACTTTCAAGGTATCCCAGCTAGGAACAAACTAATAGCACCATCGTGATCCTCTCGTCGATCCGCATCGAAACATATGTATGTTGACCTCGAAAGGTCGAAAGGTCAAAAGTTGACCTTAGATCACGTGACCTAAGGTCAACTTTTGACCTTTCGACTTTTCGAGGTCAACATACATATGTTTCGATGCGGATCGACGAGAGGATCACGATGGTGCTATTAGTTTGCTCCTAGCTGGGATACCTTGAAAGTTATTCGAGAAAAGCTTCATATATATGTATAGTGCCGCCATTTTGACTTCCTTTTAGCTCCTGTGACGTCATCTTTGACCTGACCTGAAAATGACCTCAGTAAAAATTATAGACCTTATGCGTGTGTACCCTTGAACGTTTACCGCTTGTCGCTATCTTTCTTTATTCTCGAGATCTCGCTGTCGCTCCCGCTCGTAATAATGGACAGGTCATAAAAATGACCTGACCTGAGGTCAACGCAGGGCGATAACCACTTTTTTATTATCGCATATGAATGACAATTGATAAGGCTTTAATCGTCATCAGACAAAATTGCAACTTTCGGTGGGGAAAATATCAAGGTCACTCTTCGAAAAATAGGACAAAAGGTCACGTGATCAAAATTTTCAAAAATTGAAAATCCGAGATAGCCAAAATGTTTGTTGGTTGATTGTGAGTTGAACCATATAAAGTTTTTATCGTAAAAAACCAATAGTTTCTGAGTTAGAGGCCGCCAAACATAGGGCTGCAGCGCGAACTCCAGGAATTGCCCGAGGCTATATCTCGGAAACCGTTGTTCGAAGAAAAAAATCCTTGCCACAGCTGGCTTCCCCGCCCATCACAACCCCTTACACCAGTTTTCAACGAAGAATAAAATATGAGGGTGCAAATTTAATTTTTTATTTGTCGATTTGTCGTGGAACGCCCCAGCTGCAGGCGAGGATGCTGTACTTAAACACTTCGCCCTACATTATGGCAGTGCAGACTAGTCAGGATACCAGACTATGAATATGATACCAAGCCGATACCAGGCAGATGTCTGCCACTAGTGTTCGCATATCGCACGACACACCTGCCTGAATGGCGTCACGGCACACCCGCCTAGCTAACATCACGCCACACCCACCTGAGTGACGTCCAGTTTCCCGGCGTGAAAGGCTCTCCGGGTGAACTCTCCGGGTCTGGCGGGCTGCAGGCCGGGGACGGCGGCAAGAGCGCGGAGCACTGCGGCCACCACGGCCGGGCCGCCGTGAGTGTGCAGTTCGCAGCAGTCCTCGCCGGTGAACGAGGCCGGTCCGGGCAGCCAGAGCAGCAGCGCCCGGTCCAGCAGGGCGCCGTCACACGGCGAGAACAGCCGGCGGACCACGGCGCGCCGCGCCGCCGGCAGACTCCGGCCGCCTGGCCGGTCAGAGGGCACAGGTCAGCGGGCACAGGTCAGTGGACAGCGGTTCACAGGTCAGCGGTTTGTAGGAGGGTCGATAGTCGCCACACACAAGCCAAATGACTGACCATCAGGCGACTAAGCAGGCCACTGTTATACCCTATGTCTCTTCACATACAGCTGAGGTCTGACGAGCGGTTGTGAGCCACCAACGGCGTTCTGTCAGCCGAGGTCGGTCCATAGCGCATGTTTCACGGCACGCCGCTACTCGACACCACAAGGTACTGGCGTTCGTTTTCTTGGGAAACGTAAACAAAATCACCAATTTTGCTAACGTTTCCGTGCTGTGAAACAAGGTCCTGGCGGCCATCGACCAACACCCTAGGCTGACTCACAGGAGAATCGGGAAACAAGTGTAGGCAGTGTGTTTGAGGCATTGGGTATTCTGGCAGCTCTCATTGGCCAGCCAATGGGAGAGCGCCGCAGCCGCGTGGCCTGAGGGCCGGCCGGCGCTCTTCGGGTCAGCCGGCGCTGACAGACTGATACGGGACGACGGTGAAAACAGGGCGCCTGGGGCGATTTGATCAAGGTCCGTTAAATTTACACGTGACGTTTGGGATATAGAAGGCCAACGGAGCGGGGGAAGTTCCAAATGTCACGTGACTAATATGCCCTCCGGCGCCCTGTTTTCACCGGCGTCCCTGATACGGGCGCCAGCGATGGGTGTCGTGTTATTCATTGCGTCTGCTGAAGGGTGAGTTTCGCTATGATTTTGAGTATGAACTGTGAGCTGATTCTTGTTGATTTCTTTTGGTAACCATTGGTTGTTTATGTGCTGAGCCATTTTCGGTTTTGTTTTGCTCTCCTTTACTGCTGTGTTTCAGGACGCGGAAACGTGAGAGAATAATCGGAACTGAGAGGATCAGTCCAGAATGAGAGCGTTACTTGTGACCTTTGTCAATAGACCAGAAAGTTAAGACAAGGAAACGACGGATTCTACGCTCCCCAGTAGGCTAAGCTTGCATGAGAGTCGACCCACCGGTGAGCGCGCGGAGGGCGTCTGCCGATGCCGGCCCCGTGACCCGGATCACTGCCACCCCGCAGCGGCCGTGGCCAGAGCTCAGCGCGAAGACGGTGGAGAGTCTGCGGCGGCCGGCGGCGACCAGCGAGCCCACCACACTTCTCCACCTCAGCGCAGCCGGCACCATGATCCCAGCAGCCCTGCAGCATCAATGGCATGGCGGTAAACATCGATTAGCGTGGAGGTCTACTGGTCATTTTACTGTGATTGTTTAGGTATATAAATACCATCAATTAGGTAAGGTACTCACTTAGTTTGACCCTCGCCCGTATTGGTGGTTTAGGTATAGAGGGGGGGGGGGGGGCTCCGTTGGAACCCCGCCTCTTACCGTTTAGCCCCTGATTGAGCCAAAGCTTCGCGGAAAAAATGAGCGTGTTGCCCGTGACGAGAGGAAGCCAACAGTACCAGATTTTAAGGTCTTAGGTCATTGGTTGACCTCCCAGGTCAGGTCAATGACCCAAAAGTCGTGAAAATCGGGACCTGTTAGAACGTCGTCAAGTGTGGTTGCTAAGGGACTTTTTTCGGGGTGCAGATCACGAATATCATGTAAGCTTTAATTACAGATGATATCTTCATGCATTTAGGCCAGATCGGGTCAGCCGTCAGGTCAGGTCAACCAGTAGGGGTCCAGCCGGGTATTCGTAGTACGTGTACACCGCCTCCGACAGATTCGCAACATGTTACGAAAGCTCCAAAACTACTTCGTAAATGTTCAAATGGTTGCTAAATTCGAATTAACCTCCAAAAATGGCCTACAAACATGCAAAACTAAAAAAAAAGTGAACTGAGTTCATCAAAGGTCAATGGCCTGAACTGACCGTTAGGTGATCTTGACACCCATCCTAATGCATGGGACCAACATCAAATCACATGTTTGAACGCTTGAAACCACGAAAAGACTGCAAACGCGCGGCTAATACGAGCCGACATACGCCGAATCGCGATTCCGGCCAAACATGGTCTCGAGAAATAGGTCACAGGTCAAGGGTCATTTGGGTCAGGGTCATGACATTTTCAGGGTGAGTATAAAATTGATTAACTCGAGGGTACTGAATATGTCGTCGCGGTCGACCGCTTTTTACGTGAGTTATTCACGAAAAACCGAGAGGGTCCGTTCAACCCCCCCCCTTCTATACCAGCGAGGGTTAATTGCAAAATGCACCTAATATTGCCAAGTGTTGTGACTTGTGAATAATAGTCTTTTTTAAGTCTTTCTTTTTCTTTCTCTTCTTCTTCAGTTGTAAGTTGTAACTTGTAAGCAGTAACTACACATGATGCAGTATATGTGAAGATGAAGTCCAAGTAGTAGTAGGTTGTAGGTTGGTAGGATGTAGATTGGTAGGGTTGGTAGTTTGTAGGCTGGTAGGTTGCAGGGATATAGGGTGTAGGTAGGTTGGTAGGTTGTTTAGTAGGTTAGTAGGTAAGGTTAGGTCAGGTTGGACTGTGTTTTACCTACTTGGGCTTCATCTTCACATTTACCCATGATGCACGGTGAGGCAGCCAGATAATATGTAGCAGACATTATACATATAGCCCCATAAAAACAGTCAAAGCTGGGTTCCATTAGGAGTGTATGGAAGCTGGTGGGTGGCAGCAGACCTAGACAACAGAGAACAGCTTCCTGAACTGCCTGAAGCTTCAAGGGTATGGCTGAACACCTGTGTAACTTTCCTTTGAGAAAATATTAGCAAAATTTGCAAAAAAAATGTAACAACTAACAGCATAAACAGGAACAGAAGTACAAACAGAGCCAGAGTCATACCGAATGAGTCAACTCAAAAGAGCAGTGTACTTCACTTGGAGGCCCTTTTACCTTGAGGCTAGGCAGGCTGAGGTCCTCAGAAGTCAGATGCCTTTACCTGTAAAGAACCCTAGAATTTGATATGGGTTCTGGAAGACTGATGCAGGACCTCTAGGGTTTGGATATGCTTCATAGGCCGGTGGCGGACAATTCTGGTTTGGCTTATATCTGCTTTGGTATTAGCAAGCCTGGCATCCCAGGAAGATGCCAGATTGGAATGACGGATATATATATAGACCAAAACAAACCTTGCCTGACCATGACCTGACCTAGCCTTACCTTCAACCTACAAACATACAAAACCACAACCTACCCTATAAACCTACAACCTACAACGGCATCTGGCATTTTCCTGGGACGCCAGGCTTACTCACTTACCTTGACCTTATCAAGGTAAGACCTTACTGTACTTACCTTGACCTTATACCCCTTCTTTGATAAGATTCAGACGAAGCGATCAATCTTCAGCTTAGCTTGATCTCAAACCCACGGTGACTCTCAAACCCACGTTGTTGCATTGGCAAGCTGTCATTGAGCACGATAGATGGATAACTTCATTAAGATGCAGCGAGTACCTACCTAATATTCAGGAACCTATGTCAATCTGTCAAAAATTCAGAGTGAATAAAAATTGCAAAGCAATGAAGCTATTTAATCCATGCTATTTTGGTTGATTGCTGCGCTGATTTCGTAAAAAGCGCGTCACCTCTGACTGCACCTGGGGCTGCCACTTTTACTACCATATTCAGTCCCTTCCTTCAGTTTTGCTCACGCCTACAAAATGAAGAAAAAAAAACTGGCTTCGCGTTCACACCAAGTTCACACTTCTCACGACTCACATCACAGTCTCCCGGACGACGAAGATTCTACCAAGATACCTACAGGCACGCACACAGGATTTTTGAATGGGGGGGGGGGGGCACGACCTTCGAACTGGGCCCCCCATGCCGAAGGGCCCCCCCCCCAAAAAAAATACGGCCCACGGGGCTATATTTCGGTTGGTTTGAAGCTTGAGCAATTGGTTTGTCAATGCATGGTAAAACAATTATTTCGGTACCAGCTTAACCCGCGCACCGACGGGGGTCTGCGCCAACTTCGCACCGACGGGGGGGGGGGCGGATGACCGCCCCCCCCCCTGAGATCTCGAGAACGAAGCAAGATAGCGACAAGCGGTAAACGGCATCAGATACGCACGGCCAAGATCTACAATTTTTACTAAGGTCATTTTCAGGTCAGGTCAAAGATGACGTCACAGGGGTCGAAAAAGTCAAAATGGCGGCGCTAGATATGGAGAGAGTTTTTCTCGAATAACTTTCGAATTAGTCAAGATAGGAACAAACTAAGGGCATCATCGTGATCCTCTCGTCAATCCGCATCGAATGATATATATGTTGACCTCGAAAGGTCAAGGTCAAAGGTTGACCTCAGGTCACGTGACCTCGAGGTCATCATGTATATCATTCGATGCGTCTTGACGAGCTGAACACAATGAGACCATCCACGCGTCTGTATCTTGTTCCTGTACGGAGTTATTGGCCAAAAACCTTTGGTGACCTTTGATGACGTCACATGACCTCACAGCTGCCCAACAGCAAAACAGACCTCAAGGTAGTGAAGGTTGATCGTATATGAAGTCATGTATGGTATATGGGGCCATTCCGACCCGTTTTAGTGGTAAAAACGGGGAGTTGATTTTTCCCCCATTGACTTATAATGGGGAGGTCGCGAAATTGACCTGACCTTAGGTCACCGATATCAAAATTCCGAGATATACAAATTGTAGCTACTAATGACCTAATAATATCCTGCGACTTTCAAAGGCCTCCGACATCTACTGTAGCTCTGGCACGGTGACAAAGTTGCAAAAAAGTGACTTGAGGTTGGGTCATTCAAAGTGACCTGGTGACCTGACCTTAAAAGGTAGGAGGTTCAAACTTGCACACCATGTGTAAAATTGATGAGGTTATAGTCATACCAAATTTCGCGGCGCTACGCGCCGCGGTTTTCCCGCTATTCGCGAAAAACCTCAGGGGGGGGCGGATATCCGCCCCCCCCGTCGGTGCGGGGGTTAATTTTCAAAACATATATATTTTTACGCTAGGCTGTTTTTTTTTTCTCAAATGCGACTCAGAGCCGGAACATATACCTAATCATTTAATTTATTACGTAAACATTTCATTAATAAACATTTTTGCAGGTCCCTCAGAAATCAGCCCCGGGCAGCGACTGACTGCCGGCCGGCCGACCGGCCCCGGTTGGCTAGAAGCAGGGGCCGGCCCCTGTTTGGCCCGGATGTGTAGGAGCGGGAGCAGCACTCCTTTTTCACGTATATTCGCAGATTTTTTTTTTAGGCACATCGACATGAAATGTCATTTTATTTGATACGATGCAGGGGTCACAGACTAGAGATCCAGCTTATAACTTAGGGGAAAGTGGGTGTATTGCGCCCTCCTAACTAATTGCGCCCGCCCACATTCCCACGAATTCAATGGCATGTTCAGTATTTTGTTTTCGAAAACATTATTTTCACCACTGGATAGTTCCTTTTATGGCCCAAGCTCTCCGATGAAGCCAATCAGCAAGGCTCATTACGCCATCAAAGATATTACGGCGTTTTCTTAGCTTTTTTACAGCATTTTGAACCGTTGGCTATAAAAATAGGCGAAACATGTGTGATTTTGAGTGTGATATTTGGAAAGAAAAGTCCTTTTTTTATTATATTTTACTGAAACAGTAAACATCCTTCAGTATCTTTATGGTAACTTCTATGCTTTTATTAAAAAATATCTCAATTTTAATTGCGCCCATGGCAATTGCGCCAGGGGGGCGCAAATAGAATAATGGTGTAGCTATTGTATCACGACAGTATGAATGCATCATTAACTGATTGCGATAAAGAAGGAGTTTTATGTCAGGCAGGGGAGCAAACCGCCATCGTCAGTCTAGAAATTATTTCTCTCGTCGAACTTATAATGCAGCTGCCATTTAGGCCATGAACTTGCGGTGTAATTGGTGAAATACGGCATTTTTAACATTAACTCAGGCGTGAGACGTGACAGCTATGATACAAAGTTAGAACTGATGTCAAAAGTTGTCGAAACAATAAAACATATTAATTTTGAGAGAAACAATTGAAAATATAACCGTCTAGGCGCATACGTTCATATATATCTAGTCGGTTACATCAAACGTTTTCGCTCCACTTCACAAGCATACCGGACACAAGTAAAGTTATTTACCTGCGCAAAAAACATCGCAATTTATATCTACATTTATTATGTATCGAGCTTGATTCACATAATACATGTTCAAGTAAGCCACAATGACATAGACTGCCGGAGTGTATGCATTCCGTCTCCTTTGCTTAGCCATGTTAAAGGATAGGGCGCAATTGGGTTCTAATTGCGCCATCCCCCTGGCGCAATTTACATCAGTTGTTGGTAAATGCGCCCTTTTGCATGTTTTTGAAAAAGCAGCTGTCAGAAGCAAACGAAACATTCTTAATTGATCGGGAGGCTCTTAAATCGTAGCCAATGAGTTCCTCTTTGAAATGGTGAACAGTGCATGCTTACATCTCCAGTGGTTTTCTTACAATTAGCGTTTTTCCTTAAGGTGGCGCAATTCACCCTCCTTCCCCTATATTTAATGCTTAACCAATGAATCAAATCAACAGGACTATGGTACGATGCATGTCGGACACGTACCCAGAATTTCGCCCAAGAGGGGGTCACCTGCTGGTCACCTGACCCCGGGCCCGCGAGTCACCCGGGCGCCCGGGGTCAGCTCAGGCAAGGATGTACCCAGGACCTTTTGATGGGAGGAGGGAGGCACGGTGGGTTCAGTCTCACTGGAAGACGGGTCTCTTTAAAACGGTCTTTGCATGAGAAAATGTGGAAAATTGGCAAGCAAAAGTATCATTTATGCCCGAGGAGTGTGCCTATAATGTACACTAATGCCTAATTTACATGGTATTTTACGAGCGAGCGAAGCGAGCGAGGTCCTCAGAGTCACCGGTGTGTGGCGCGTTCAGAGGTGCCAGTGAAAGGCCGTCAGATGCGCTGGTGTTGGGTCCTCACAGGCGCCGTTGCGGGGTCTTAGGGCTTGGAGACACTGGTGGGGCCATCATTGGCATGTGTGTAGCCCTGCAAAATGGCCTGCAAGTGGAAAGTGGCCCGTCATAGGCTGGCAAGGACACTCGGAGGCTGGTAAGAGGCCCTCAGAGTCACTGGTACGCGGCCCTCAGAGGCGTCGGTGTAGGCCCTTCCCAGCAAACATGCCCACATGGGTCCCATATGGGGTGAACATGGGCCAGATGGGCCCACGTGGGACATGGGCTACAGATGGGCTACCCATATGGGCCCCATATGGGATAAAAATGGGCCAGATGGGCCAAACGCATGTGGGCTGGAGATGGGCATCCCATGTGGGTCCCATATGGGGTGAACATGGGCCAGATGGGCCCACGTGGGACATGGGCTATAGATGGGCTACCCATATGGGTCCCATGTGGGCGCCGCGTGGGTTCCATATGGGGCCTACGTGGGCTGGCCCATATGGGTCCCACGTGTCACCCACTGCCATTCCCATGTGGGACCCATATGGAAGAGGTGGGGGGCCCATGTGGGTCCCATATGGGAACCATGTGGGCATGTTTGCTGGGTTAAGATGCGCTGGTGGGGGTCCCTTGGAGGTGGGGCGAGGGGCCTCGCAGTTGCCGTTGTGGGTGCCTTTAGAAACACTGGTGTGGACCGTGTGTCTATCACAGACGGATGTGGAGCCATAGCAGCCAATCCCTCGTTGGCCGTTACTACTTGGCCCTGAGCGGCCGGCGAGGTCTCTCAGAAACCGGCATTGGGCCTTTATGAAGATAATTGTGGCTACATAGGAGCCAATAACGTCCCCCCACAAGCCCTGTGGTGTCCTTCCGAGTTGAAGTGCGGCCAGCGCGAACCCTCTGCTACCAACTGGCGCCGCAGGGCGCCTCGGTTTCGAAGGAACCCTAAACCCGAGAACGGGCACGTACCCCCTCGCTCCCTTGCTATGTCACTGAATCCAAGTGATGGGACCCTTTAGGTAATCAGGGGCGTTTCAGATGACCAGGGGTTTTCAATTGATCAGGGGCCCACCAGGTGACCATGGGCCCCTCTGGTAACCAGGCCAGGCCTTAAGTAACCAGGGACCCCATCAATAACCAGGGCCCCTCAGTAAACGGGGGCCACTCAGGTAAGTGTAGGAGTCCCGCAGATAACCAGGGCCGGCAAGGTTTCTCAGGTCCGTTTTTTGACAAGGCTCTTATTGACTCAGGTGCGAGCCCTTTGCCATCAGCAGAGGGCCGTTTCAAGCCTTTTGAGAGCCGTTTAACGTCTCTTGAGTTCCCATTGAGGCCTTCTAAATGCCCTTTGAGCAGTCGAGGGGCCTTTGAGGCCTTTTGAGGGTCTCTTGACGTCAGATGAGGACCGTTGGACGCCAGCTGAGGATCGTTTTTGGGCCTTCTGATGGCCATTAGACGCCAATGGATGACCCTCTGACACCAACTGGGGCCCTCTGACACCAGCTAAGGGCACTTTAAGTTTGACGCTAGCTCAGGGCCCTCTGACATTAGCTGGGGGGCCCTCTGACGCTAGCTCAAGGCCCTTTGACGCT